GAGATGAAGTTGCGTATGCACATGCACACACACACACACACACAACCACACACTACCTGAAGTATGGAAGAAGGCAAATGTAGTCCCCATCTTTAAGAAAGATGACAGAAATGAAGCACTAAATTACAGTGTCACTGACGTGTATAGTATGCAAAGTCTTGGAGATTATCAGGAGAGTGGTGGAGCACCTGGATTATTATTATAATCATGGGGGAGCGCTAAACCCGTAGGATTATACAGCGCATGTGGGGGGGATAGAAGGTATTCAGGCTCAATTCAGGGAACCGGAGCACAAATCCAATTCCCTAGACCAAGAGCCCCTCACCAGCGTCAAGGAACCTCCCTTGAGGGGGGAGCACCTGGAACGAACAAGATTATAAACGACATAAACGGATTCATGGAAGGCAAATCTTGTCACAAACCTACTAGTTTTATGACAAGGTAACTGAAGTAAGAAATGAGGGAGGGGTGGGTTGACTGCATTTTCTTGGACTGCAAGAAGGCCTTTGACACAGTTCCTCACAAGAGATTAGTACAGAAGCTGGAGGAACAGGCACGTATAACAGGAAGGGCACTGCAGTGGACCAGAGAATACCTAGCAGGGAGGCAACAGCGAGTCATAGTCCGTGATGAGGTATCACGGTGGGCGCCGGTGACGAGCGGGGTCCCACAGGGGTCAGTACTGGGTCCAGTGCTATTCTTGGTATATGTGAACGACATGACGGAAGGGATAGACTCCGAAGTGTCCCTGTTTGCAGATGATGTGAAGTTAATGAGGAGAATTAAATCTGACGCGGACCAGACAGTCTACAAAGAGACCTGGACAGGCTGGACACGTGGTCCAGTAACTGGCTCCTAGAATTTAACCCCGCCAAATGTAAAGTCATGAAGATCGGAGAAGGGCAAAGACCGCAGATAGAGTATAGGCTAGGAGGCCAAAGGCTGCAAACCTGACTCAAGGAGAAAGACCTAGGAGTGAATATAATACCGAGTACATCGCCAGAAGCACACATTAACCAGGTAACTGCTGCGGCATATGGGCGCCTGGCAAACCTGAGAATAGCGTTCCGGTACCTCTGTAAGGAATCGTTCAAGACTTTATACACTGTACGTCAGGCCCATACTAGAGTACGCAGCACCAGTTTGGAACCCACACCTGGTCAAACACGTCAAGAAATTAGATAAAGTGCAAAGGTTTGCAACAAGGCTAGTTCCAGAGCTATGTGCAACTCTTGGGTATCTTTATTCAGGAAATGTTTCGCCACACAGTGGCTTCATCAGTCCATACATAGGAGAAACTTGAACAACAGGAGGAGAATGAGGTAATCAGTCCCTCAACCTTGAGTCGATGTGGTTGAGGGACTGATTACCTCATTCTCCTCCTGTTCTTCAAGTTTCTCCTATGTATGGACTGATGAAGCCACTGTGTGGCGAAACGTTTCCTGAATAAAGATACCCAAGAGTTGCACATGTGTCTAATTTATCAACCTGGAGTTTACCTGGAGAGTGTTCCGGGGGTCAACGCCCCCGCGGCCCGGTCTGTGACCAGGCCTCCTGGTGGATCAGAGCCTGATCAACCAGGCTGTTACTGCTGGCTGCACGCAAACCCACGTACGAGCCACAGCCCGGCTGGTCAGGTACCGACTTTAGGTGCTTGTCCAGTGCCAGCTTGAAGACTGCCAGGGGTCTATTGGTAATCCCCCTTATGTATGCTGGGAGGCAGTTGAACAGTCTCGGTTCTCTGAACCATTCATCTACAATCCTGTCAGACACTGCAACTTCTTGGGATCTTAATACTTGGGAATTCTTCGCTTGCCTAACCCTTGGGCACGACCTACTTCCACATTGAACAAATGTGACACCACCTACATCTGCTGCACCTCTCCTGCCTACGGTTTATAAGCTGCTTCTCCGTCCATATGCCGTATTCTATTCAAGATTGATGGACTGACCACATCGACTCAAGGTTGAGGGACCGATTACCTCATTCTCCTCCTGTTCAGGTTTCTCCTATGTATGGACTGATGAAGCCACTGTGTGGCGAAACGTTTCCCGAATAAAGATACCCAAGAGTTGAGTTGCACATGTGTCTAATTTATCAACGTGTCGGTTCTCTGAACCATTCATCTACAGTTCCAGAGCTAAGGGGAATGTCCTATGAAGAAAGGTTAAGGGAAATCGGTCTGACAACACTGGAGGACAGGAGGGTCAGGGGAGACATGATAACAATATACAAAATACTGCGTGGAATAGACAAGGTGGACAGAGACAGGTTCCAGAGATGGGACACAGAAACAAGGGGTCACAATTGGAAGCTGAAGACTCAGATGAGTCAAAGGGATGTTAGGAAGTATTTCTTCAGTCATAGAGTTGTTAGGAAGTGGAATAGCCTAGCAAATGATGTAATGGAGGCAGGAACTATACATAGTTTTAAGACGAGGTATGATAAAGCTCATGCAGCAGGGAGAGAGGACCTAGTAGCGGTCATTGAAGAGGTGGGGCCAGGAGCCGAGTCTCGACCCCTGCAACCACAATTAGGCGAGTACACACACACACACACACACACACACACACACACACACACACACACACACACACACACACACACACACACACACACACACACACACACACAGTGTGTGTGTGTTTGACACAGTTCCACACAAGAGATTGGTGCAAAAACTGGAGGACCAAGCAGGGATAACAGGGAAGGCACTACAATGGATCAGGGAATACTTGTCAGGAAGACAGCAGCGAGTCATGGTACGTGGCGAGGTGTCAGAGTGGGCACCTGTGACCAGCGGGGTCCCGCAGGGGTCAGTCCTAGGACCAGTGCTGTTTCTGGTATTTGTGAACGACATGACGGAAGGAATAGACTCTGAGGTGTCCCTGTTTGCAGATGACGTGAAGTTGATGAGAAGAATACACTCGATTGAAGACCAGGCAGAACTACAAAGGGATCTGGACAGGCTGCAGAACTGGTCCAGCAATTGGCTCCTGGAGTTCAATCCCACCAAGTGCAAAGTCATGAAGATTGGGGAAGGGCAAAGAAGGCCGCAGACGGAGTACAGTCTAGGGGGTCAGAGACTACAAACCTCACTCAAGGAAAAAGATCTTGGGGTGAGTATAACACCAGGACATCTCCTGAAGCGCACATCAACCAAATAACTGCTGCAGCATATGGGCGCCTAGCAAACCTCAGAACAGCATTCCGACATCTTAATAAGGAATCGTTCAGGACCCTGTACACCGTATACGTTAGGCCCATATTGGAGTATGCGGCACCAGTTTGGAACCCACACCTAGCCAAGCACGTAAAGAAACTAGAGAAAGTGCAAAGGTTTGCAACAAGACTAGTCCCAGAGCTAAGAGGTATGTCCTACGAGGAGAGGTTAAGGGAAATCAACCTGACGACACTGGAGGACAGGAGAGATAGGGGGGACATGATAACGACATACAAAATACTGAGAGGAATTGACAAGGTGGACAAAAACAGGATGTTCCAGAGATTGGACACAGTAACAAGGGGACACAGTTGGAAGCTAAAGACACAGATGAATCACAGGGATGTTAGGAAGTATTTCTTCAGCCACAGAGTAGTCAGTAAGTGGAATAGTTTGGGAAGCGATGTAGTGGAGGCAGGATCCATACATAGCTTTAAGCAGAGGTACGATAAAGCTCACGGCTCAGGGAGAGTGACCTAGTAGCGATCAGTGAAGAGGCGGGGCCAGGAGCTCGGACTCGACCCCCGCAACCTCAACTAGGTGAGTACAACTAGGCGAGTACAGTCACAGGGATGTTAGGAAGTATTTCTTCAGTCATAGAGTTGTCAGCAAGTGGAATAGCCTAGCAAGTGAAGTAGTGGAGGCAGGAACCATACATAGTTTTAAGAAGAGGTATGACAAAGCTCAGGAAGCAGAGAGAGAGAGGATCCAGTAGCGATCAGTGAAGAGGCGGGGCCAGGAGCTGAGTCTCGACCCCTGCAACCACAATTAGGTGAGTACACACACACACACACTAACACCGGTAGACAGGAAGCTGAGAGTAAACACACAGGTGAACAGAAGGGACGAGTGCACACAGGTGAACATATGAGTGCACACAGAGGCGGGCTTCACTCCTTTCACACATGTAACTACACAACAGCGGAGCTACGTGCACACCACAGAGCCGAGCACACGCCCACCGTGGGCGTACAACAGCAGATGTGTAAAAGGTTGGCCATTGTTCGGAGAAGCCACGGCCCGGGGGCCACCCCCGTCAAAGACACCACCCACGCCGCCGCCCACACCCTCACAGGCACGCCCACTGCTGCCATCTTACCTATGGACAAGAGCAACACGTCGACGACAATTCTAACAACATATTTGGAGTCCATGGTAGGCATGGTGGCAGCCACGAGCAACGTCTACCCCCGACACCGTCAAGACTCACACTGACTCGGCTCGCTGCTGATCCTACCACTCCCCCCATCACCCTTTTCTTCATAAAAATGACTTGTTTACATAACTAAAGCATGAACTAGATACATCATTTAACAAAATTATCTATGGAAAAAGGGCTAAAGTTCAGTTACTATTGATTATATCCTAGAAGAAGCCATAATATAACAGTTTTGGTGCACCCACGTAGAAATGGATTGATGCTAAATGTAATAAGATAAAATTATTATCACAAATTATTTATATGTTTTGTGAGAATTTGTAAAGTTTGCTTGTGTAAATAAACAAGTAAACAAATAAACTTAATGTAACTTAATGTTATTTAAAAAATGTTTAAATAGGAATAAAGCTTTAAAGGATAGCATTCATCTAATAAAAATAACTTGTGGACTCATAAGTGAATATTAATTAACTTTTTGTCATGTTTTTCATAAATCAATGAAAAATAACTTTAGGCTTGTATATATAAATGTCATAAGTTTGCATTAGGGTTTTAGAAGGCACTAGTGGGAGGCCAGACTCTCTTAAGTAATCTAATAGTGTACTTAACTCTACTCTCTCTTCACCTTATGACTGGAAATAGAGTTAAGTTGGAAGTGCGAGTGTGAGGGTGTGCTGGCTTGTTTTCCCTCGTCATAATGGAAGTTAGCAAGAATGTTGAGAGAGAAACTATAGTTCCAGGTGAGTGTTGTGGTGATGGCGGCCCACACCTTCACCTGCCAGACTTTGACACTCTCCTGGACGCCTGCTACACCTCCACTGTGGCCACACACTCGCCAACATCCGCTACACACACACTACGTCAGGTCATGGAGGGCCATACACGGCGCTCATGGAGGGATATACACGCACTTCATGGATAGTCATGCGCTAACAGCAGCTACACATACACTACACCAGGTCATGGAGGGTCATACACCCAGGATAGAGGCCATACAGTTGTTAACAGCTATACACTCTGGGTCATGGGGGTCATACACTGAGGTCACAGAGAACCATGGAGGAATATACACTGGTCATGAAGGGCCATACACGGGTCATAAAGGGCCATATACAGGCCATGCAAGGTCATACACATTTCGTACAAGGTCATACACACGTCATTCAAGGTCATACATACGTCATTCAAGGCCATACACAGGCCATGCAAGGCCCCACACACAGGCCATGCAAGGCCATCCACAGGCCATACAAGGCCATACACAGGCCATGCAAGGCCATACACAGGCCATGCAAGGCCATACACAGGCCATGCAAGGCCATACACAGGCCATGCAAGGCCATACACAGGCCATGCAAGGCCATACACAGGCCATGCAAGGCCATCCACAGGCCATGCAAGGCCATACACAGGCCATGCAAGGCCATACACAGGCCATGCAAGGCCATACACAGGCCATACACAGGCCATGCAAGGCCATACACAGGCCATGCAAGGCCATGCAAGGCCATACACAGGCCATGCAAAGCCACACACAGGCCATGCAAAGCCACACACGGGCCATGCAAGGCCACACACAGGCCATGCAAGGCCACACACAGACCATGCAAGGCCACACACAGGCCATGCAAGGCCACACACAGGCCATGCAAGGCCACACAGGCCATGCAAGGCCACACACGGGCCATGCAAGGCCACACACAGGCCATGCAAGGCCACACACAGGCCATGCAAGGCCACACACAGGCCATGCAAGGCCACACACAGGCCATGCAAGGCCACACACAGGCCATGCAAGGCCACACACAGGCCATGCAAGGCCACACACAGGCCATGCAAGGCCACACAGGCCATGCAAGGCCACACACAGGCCATGCAAGGCCACACACAGGCCATGCAAGGCCACACATAGGCCATGCAAGGCCCCACACAGGCCATGCAAGGCCACACACAGGCCATGCAAGGCCACACAGGCCATGCAAAGCCACATACAGGCCATGCAAAGCCACACACAGGCCATGCAAAGCCACACACAGGCCATGCAAGGCCACACACAGGCCATGCAAGGCCATACACAGGCCATGCAAGGTCATACACAGGCCATGCAAGGCCATACACAGGCCATGCAAGGCCACACACAGGCCATGCAAGGCCATACACAGGCCATGCAAGGTCATACACAGGCCATGCAAGGCCATACACAGGCCATGCAAGGCCATACAAGGCCACACACAGGCCATGCAAGGCCATACACACCATGCAAGGACATACACTGGCCATGCATGGCCACACACAGGCCATGCAAGGCCACACACAGGCCATGCAAGGCCATACACAGGCCATGCAAGGCCATACACAGGCCATGCAAGGCCATACACAAGCCATTTGAAAGTCATACAGTAAGGTCACACCGGGTTACACCAGCTTTACGAATCTCACATTCACATACTGAATATACACCACAAATATAGATATAGAACATATACTACAGATATAGATGTAGAACATACGCTACAGTTACAAAACATACACTACATGTAGATATAGAATGAGCACTACAGATATAGAATATACACTACACACAGAATATACACTACGCTTATAGAATATACACTACACATATAGAATATACACTGCAGATACAATATAGAATATACATTACAGATATAGAATATGCACAAAATGTATAAAATATACACTAAAGCTATAGAATATATATATCTATAGATGCCTATTATACATTTATTAATAATGTATTATTTTTTAACTCCTTAAAGTTGCAGATGAAAAACGTTAATGGAAGTTTGTGCTATTGTTTATTTTAAGTTATATGTATGCTGGACTGTCAGTGCTTCATAAATTAAAAAATGATGCAACACAGAACTTTGTCCTTGGAGGCAAAGAGGGGAATGTATGAGAGTATAGTTTTACCAACGCTCTTATATGGGTGTGAAGCGTGGGTGATGAATGTTGCAGCGAGGAGAAGGCTGGAGGCAGTGGAGATGTCATGTCTGAGGGCAATGTGTGGTGTGAATATAATGCAGAGAATTGTAGTTTATTAAGGATGGAGGTGCGGTTAACCAAAACTGTTGTCCAGAGGGCTGAGGAAGGTTGTTGAGGTGGTTCGGACATGTAGTGAGAATGGAGCGAAAAGAATGACTTCAGGTTACCTCGTGTAGTGGAAGGATAGGGGTTTGGACTCGGCCTAGAAGGGTTGGAGGGAGGGGTAAAGGAGGTTTTGTGTGCGAGGGGCTTGGACTTCCAGCAGGCATGCGTGAGCGTGTTTGATAGGAGTGAATGGAGACAAATGGTTTTTAATACTTGACGTGCTGTTGGAGTGTGAGCAAAGTAACATTTATGAAGGGATTCAGGGAAACCGGCAGGCCGGACTTGAGTCCTGGAGATGGGAAGTACAGTGCCTGCACTCTGAAGGAGGGGTGTTAATGTTGCAGTTTAAAAACTGTAGTGTAAAGCACCCTTCTGGCAAGACAGTGATGGAGTGAATGATGGTGAAAGTTTTTCTTTTTCGGGCCACCCTGCCTTGGTGGGAATCGGCCGGTGTGATAATAAAAAAATAATAACAATTTAGACTGATTGCAATTATTTTTATTAGTCATATAAAGTACCAATGATTGAATGATATGAATGTAGTTTCCATTTTGGATCCTTATACTATGGTGGAAAACATCCATTTTTGAGAAAAACACACTGAACTCATCTGAGACATTCAGTACAACATTGAAATTAATAATTGTATGAAACTTGAACTTTTTAAAACATCAGGCTTCTCAGTATACTTCATAAGCATGTTACTTTACTGATTAATGATACTAGTCTTACATATTAAATACAATTGACTCTTAAACAAGGTGGGGGTTAGGGGCGCCAACCCTCTGTGCAGTCAAAAATCCGCATATAACTTTTGACACCTCAAAAAATTAACTACTAATGGCCTATTGTTGACTGGAAACCTTACAAATAACATAGGCAGTCAATTAACACATTTTGTATGTCATGTGTGTTATATACTCTGTTCTTACAATAAAGTAAGCTAGAGAAAAGAAAATGTTACTAAGAAAATCATAAGAAGAGAAAATACATTTACAGTTCTGTACTGTATTTATTGATATTGTAAGTTTACATTATCTGTTTGCAAGATGAATTATCTGCCTGTCAGTACCTGCATCAGTATTATCTTATATGATACAAAATACTGTAGATGTTTTACATATTACTAATATTAGACCTAGATATCAAAAATGAAAATAAATTAATATTTATTTATGATTTAACATGGCATCTTTACGTATGCTTACGTTTCTCTCGACTGTGAATGGAACATGTACAATCTGTAATAATATTTTATTATTATTATTATTATTATTATTATTATTATTATTATATTTTATATTATTGACCCTTGTGGGTTTAGGACTTAGTTATGAAAATATAATTATATAATAATAATATTATTATTGCATCTTTACCTTTGTTTACATTTCTCTCGATTGCAAATGGAACATGTACACTTTGTAAATGTAAGTTTTGATAAATTTTAACTTTTTATATTATACAGCGGACCCTCAGTTTTCATGATTAATCCATTCCAGAGAGTCTGATGGAAGCCGAAATTCATGAAAACCGAAATCATTTTCCCCATAAGAAATAATGTAAATTCAATTAATCCATTCCAGACACCCAAAAGTAAACAAAAAAAAAATTTTTTTTAGAGATTAAATAGTATAGATTTACATACAGAAAAGAATGACAAATCATTATAAAGCAATAATAAAATGTATAAATGAACATTTAACATCACACTTACCCTTATTGAAAAGACTTGTTGTATGGAAGACAGGAGGAGGGAAGAGGGAGGAAAAGTTACTATTGTTTGGAAGGGGAATCCTCTTCCATTAAGACTTTAGGTACCAAGTTCTTATCCAGGGTTACTTCCCTTCTCTGTTTTTTAATGGCACTAGGACCAGCTTGAGAGTCACTGGACCCCTGTTACTCAACAAATTGTTCCAGAGAGCTCTGTTTCTGGTGTCTAAGATTTGCCTAAAGTGGGATAATGCATTGTCATTAAACATGTCATAGACACAGCCTGCAACAGCTCTGTTAGGGTGATGTTCCTCCACAAATGTTTGCACCTCACTCCACTTTGCACACATGTCTTTAATCACTGAAGAAGGCACCTTCTTCCCTCTCTCTTCCTCCTCTTGTGAAGCAATTTCCTCTGCTGTACTCTATTGCTGTTGCAGATGAAGGTCTTGCAGCTGTTCAGTAGTTAACTCTTCACTGTGGTCCTCCACCAACTCTTCCACATCCTCACCACACACATCCAACCCCATGGAATTCCCCAATGTCACAATACATTCCACAACAGGCATAAGGTCGACAGGGTCAGCCCCAAACTCTTCAAAATCCTTCTCTGGGACACATTCTGGCCACACGGTGGCTTATTTAGCAATTGCAAGCACAAAAAACAATGGATTATTATGAAGTGTTTCGTATGAACACGATGGGGTGATGCTCACTCGCCAAGAAACAATGCCACACGACTCAGAATGCACATGTGGGAGGCTTGTGTGCGTGCAGCCACTGGGACATGGTCCATACAACCGCCGATATCAGAGGGAAATCACGAAAGCAGAGGCTATATTTTGATGAAAAAGTTGCCAATAACCAAAATTCATGAAAACAGACTCAGGAAAACCGAGGGTCCACTGTACTTTATGGTAGCAACAGACTAGTATCTACATATATTTTATGCATTCATGACATAACTAACTTTCTAAAAAAAATTTTGGTCACAAATCTCGGAAAAAAATTCCAACATTTATTGAAAAAATCCACGTATAAATGGACCTGTGCAGTTCAAACCCATGTTGCTCTAGGGTCGACTGCACTTGCTAAGTAAATAATTTTAAATTACTTACATGAGGTGCTAAAGCCGTGTGTGTTATTCACCATGGGGCGTGTTGGACGCTCGATTCTCTGACTGCTAATCTTGTAACAGACGTGCTACTCTTTCGGTCAGACTGTTTCAGGCCAGATTTAGTAAATATTTATGGTTTCACAACTTTTGAAACTAAAGCTAAATAATCAGCTTTAAATACGACTTCAAAAAATAACTTAAGCATTATATTTAGCTGTTTAACCCGTAAACTGTCCAAACGTATATATACGTTTTTTCAACATTTGAAAGTATGTAAAAAAAGTAGATCTTTTTTGTTTTTTT